TTCCACGTCTTCCTTTAGTATCATTCCCCTTCAGCCTGAACAAGCTATGTTAGCATTTCTTTTAGAGCAGATCTCCTGGTGACAAATACTCTCAGTGTTCCTTAGTCTGAAAATGTCTTCTTTTTGTCTTCATTCCTGAAGGATGTTTTCACAGGATATAGAATCCTGGGTTCATAGTTCTTTCCTTTCATAACTTTAAAGATGCTTTTCCAGCTATTCTGTTCTTCACCGTTTGTGATGAAAAATATGTGGTAATTCAGAGTTGTCCCCCTGTGTGTAATGTGACATTTCTCTCTCTCTGCTTTTGGAGTTTGTCTTTATGTTAGATTTCCAGCCAGTTGGTTATTCTGAGTCTGTTGTGGTTTCTTCAAGTTCATCCTTTTTACGTTTGCTGAGTGTATTGAGTGTGTAAATTATGTCTTCAATAAATTTGGGGAATTTTTAGCTATCATCCAAATTTTTTTCTGGACCACTCTCTCTTTCCTCTCTTTTGGTAAGTCTAATGACATAAATGACACAAATGATGGGCCTTGATCCTTTGATCTCAGACCTGAGAGCAGATGAATTTTTTCAGTCTTTAGCCCTCTGATAGTCAAAGTCCATAATTTCTATTAACCTCTCCAGATTACTGACTCATTTCTTTGTCATCTCTATTCCACTTTTGAATCCATCAAGTGAATTTTAAATTTCAGATGTTGTATTTTTTCAACTCTAAAGTTTTTAATTCTTGCTTGTTTTTTTTCTCTTTCTATGCTGACAGCTTCGAGCTCTCCATTTCAAGATTATTTACCTTGACCTCGTGGAGTGTGGTTGTAAGGGATGCTTTAAAGTCATTTTCTAATAATTCCAACATCTGGGTAATTTCAAGGTTGACTTCATTGTCTTTTCTCTTGAGAATTGGTCAGATTTTTCTGGTGTTTTCTATGCCAAGTAATTTGGGATTATATCCTGGTCACTTTGAATATTGTGTTATGAATCATTGGGTCATCTTAAAATCCTCTGGATAATGTTGATTTTTTTTTCCCTTTGTTTCTGTGTTTTAGCAGGCAGTCTGGTTGGTTTCAGCTCACAAGCTTTGTCTCACTTTCTGTGGCTGCTGGTTCCAATGTCAGTTCAGTTCTCAAACCTTTGCTTTTCTATTTGGGTCTGCTTTGTGCACGTACCCCTCAGGGGTCGGTCTGGGACCTGTGTGGTTCTTTGTATCGTAGTTCAGTTCCGAAAGCTCTTTTGGGTCTGTTCCACACATGTGTAGCTTGGGGGTGAGACCGGGACTTATACTGGTTTATAACAGAATTAGAGGACCCCCCTCTGGGTCTCTTCTCACCAAGACCCCTTCCCCCAGTTCCTCTGGTCAGAGAGATAGAATGGGGTGGAGGAGACTTTAGATGTCTTCAGGGCAGCAGCAGCTTTGCAACCAGGACAGTCTTTGGAAGCAAGATCAGGAGGGAAAAAAAGTTTTTGAAAGAGTATATATCTGATGGTATTACACTGCAACTAATTAATTCAGTCTTATTATTAGTTAGCAAGAAGTTATGGGGTTGGAATAGGATAGATACAACAAGGTCCTACTGTATAGCACAGGGAACTATATTCAGTACTATCTTGTAATAACCTGTAATGGAAAGAATCTTAAAAAGAATATATACAATGTAAAAAATTAATCAACTAATTAACTGTTTTCTATGTTTTAAAAAAAGAATCTTATAGGGGCTTCCCTGGTGGCGCAGTGGTTGAGAATCTGCCTGCCAATGCAGGGAACACGGGTTCGAGCCCTGGTCTGGGAAGATCCCACATGCCGCGGGGCAACTGGGCCCGTGAGCCACAACTACTGAGCCTGCGCGTCTGGAGCCCGTGCTGAGCAACAAGAGAGGCCGCGGTAGTGAGAGGCCCGCGCACCGCGATGAAGAGTGGCCCCCGCTTGCCACAACTGGAGAAAGCCCTCGTACAGAAACGAAGACCCAATACAGCCAAAAATAAATAACTAAATAAATATATATAAATTTAAATATAATGATAAATAAAGCTCTTCATTTGTGAAAAAAAATTAAAAAAAAAAAAAGAATCTTATATTAGACAAATTTATCCTTCAAAAACACAAAAGAAAGAAGTAACAGAGGAAATGAGGGAAAAATATGTATGACATACAGGAAAAAAATAGCAAAATGACAAAAACATATCCTTATCAGTAGTTATTTTAATATGATTGGATTAAACTCGCCAATGAAAGGTAAAAGGAGTAGAATACATAATAAAACATGACCCAATTATATGTTGTCTACAGGAGATTCACTTAAAATCGAAAGACAAAGTTGGTTGAAAGTGAAGGGATGGAAAAAGATACTCTATGCTAATAATAACCAAAAAAGTGCTGAGGTGGCTGCATTAGTATTAGACAAAATGTATTTTAAGTAAAAAAACTGTTACAAAGAAGGACATCATATATTGATAAAAGGTCAATTCAAGAAGATGTAACAATTATAAACATATACTCAGCAAACAACAGAGCCCCCAAATATATGAATCAAACATTGGCAGACTTGAAGGGAGAAATAGACAATTCTACAATAATAATTGGATACTTCAGTAGCCCATTTTCAATACTGGAAAGAACATCTAAATAGAAGAATGATAAGGAAAAAGAAGACTTGAACAAAACTATAAACCAACTAGACCTAACAGATAAGTATGAAATTCTTCACTCAGCAATAGGAGGATACCTATTCTTCTCAAGTTTACATGGAATATGCTCCAGGATAGACCATATGTTAGACCATGGAAAAATTCTCAAGAAATTTGAAAAGATTGAAAGCATATAAAGTATCTTCTCAAAGTACAATAGAAACTAAGACATTAATAACAGAAGGAAAATTGGAAATATGGAAATTAAACAATGCATTCTTAGACACCAGTGGGTCAAAGAGATAATCACAGGGGAAATTAAAGAATACTTAGAGACAAATGGAAACAACACATAACATACCAAAACTTATTGGATGCTGCAAAAGCAGTGATCACAGGGGAATTTATAGCTGTAAACAACTATCAAAAAAGAATGATCTCAAATCAATACCCTAGATTTACACCTTAAGGAGCTAGGAGGAGAAGGGCAAACTAAACTGCAAACTAGCAGAATGAAGGAAGTAATAGAGGTGAGAACAGAGCTAAATGAAACAGAGAATAGAAAAACAATAGTGAGAATCAACAAAACCAAAAGTTGTTTCTTTGAAAAGATTGACAGAATTGACAAACCCTTGGCTAAACTCATAAATCAAAAGTGAGACAAAATGAGACATTTTATATTTGTATTTATGTTTATGACATTTTAGACCTTTAAGCTTCATTTTTTAGGGTAATCACCTGTTCTTTTCAGGACTTCCAGCTGATTGAATCAGTTTGCCCAGATTATCAAGAAAAATATCTTTATTTAGTAAAGTCAGTTCATTACAGACTTTAATCTGATCAGATGTTTGATTAGACTGACACATTGACAAAGCCATTTACAATACAGTTTTGGTTGCTAATTTAAGTTGTATCTTGTTTTCTATCTGATTATTGCTAATGCAGAGGAGATATATTTATTTTTGCAAGGTGATGTTGCATCTGAATCATTTTTGTGTATTTTTTTCTAATAGTTGGTCTGTGGATTCAGTTTGACATTCTATATTGATGATGATGTCATCTGCAAATAATTCCATTTGATCATATTATCTGTAAATAATTCTAGTTATTACAACTCTTCTTTCTTTTTCTTATAACACTGGCCGGTACAACCAGTGATATAAGTGGCAAGGGTATCAAGTGTCCTTGATGGTTCTCTGATATTAATACGACTATGTCTAAAATTCCACCATAAACAGGATATTTGCTTTAGTTATGGCATAAATTCTTTATTATCTTTTTCTTTTTCTTTTTTGGCTGCATTGGGTCTTCATTGCTGTGCGCGGACTTTCTTTAGTTGCGGCGAGCAGGGGCTACCCTTCGTTGCGGTGTGCAGGCTTCTCATTGCAGTGGCTTCTCTTTGTTGTGGAGCACGGGCTCTAGGCGCATGGGCTTCAGTAGTTGCGGCCTGTGGGCCCAGTAGTTGTGGTTTGTGGGCTCTAGAGTGCAGGCTCAGTAGTTGTGGTGCATGGGCTTAGCTGCTCTGTGGCATGTGGCATCTTCCTGGACCAGAGATCGAACCTGTGACCCTGCATTGGCAGGCAGATTCTTAACAACTGCGTCACCAGGGAAGTCCCAATTCTTTATTATCTTAAGGATATTTCCTTCTATTCCTAGTTTTCTGAGTGTTGTATTATTTTACCATAAATAGATTTTGAACTTAATGAGATTCTTATTCCATATCCATTAAGAAAATTATCATATCAGCCTACCAGTATATGACTTATCCTTACAGATTTGTTACTATTAAGCCACATTTCTTTCTCTGCAATAAATACTAGCTTATTGTGATGTATTGCATTTTACCTTGCTATTTCAGTTAGTGAGCAAATATTTTTTTCAAATAATTTGTGTCTATATTCATAAGTAAAATGGGCTTATAAATTCCTTTCTTTTTCTAGTTTTATTTAATTTTGAAATTAAACTTACTCTAAATTGTAAAATGTTTTAAGCAACTTTCCTTCTTTTTCTACTCTCTGGAACTGTTTTTACAAGACAGGGATTATCTGTTTCATCAAAGTTGGCAGAACTCCCTTATAAAACTTTCTGGACCAGAGGCTTTCTAGTGGTTCCGTTTTGTGGTAACATATCCTGTGATAAATAGGAAAGCATCTTTCTTTCATGTCACATTTTTAATCAGTGTTTATATAATTTTACAAAGGGAATAAGATGCTTTTAGCTTTAGACTAATAATTAAGAGAGTCATTGTTACACTTCATATTCTTTTGAGTCAGTCTACACAATAGGTAATGTAGAAATGTGTTCTATGTGGACTGGTACGAAGGTCAGAATGAGTGTGGTCATCTCAGGATCGCTCATAATCTCTGTGCTTTTCTTCCCAGGACACACAGGACGGTTGTTAAAGTCTCTGTGCTTCACCAGCTTTTCCTTCCTGTTGCTGCATATAATTTTCCACATCACGTTGGCAAGTCTGGAGGCACAGCACCGCATTGCACCTGGTTACAACTGTGAGTATGATGGTGGCTTTTTTTTTTATATTACATACGTGAATAACAAAGCTATGTGTCATAATGCTTATAGAAATCTAGGCAATGATGACATTACAAAATTTGTGACAATTTTTGGCCATTTGTCAATCTAATACACTATAAATACATTCAAAGAAATTTATATACCTAGACAATGGGGTAATGTGAACAACTTAATTCATGCATCTTCAACATATATTAGATATTAGACTGTGATCTGTATGTAAGACATTATGCTTGGGTGTAGTCTAAAAAAAAAATCAAGATTTACGTACAGACCCTGGTGCTTCCACTATGGCTGGTGAGATGAGACATGTACAATATCTAATAAGATAAATACGAGTACAAACGTCAAATAAATACAACAGTGACTTCAGGCTTATTGTAAAGAATAATGTAAGATTTCGTACATCTTTATGGGAAAAATGTGAATGACACGATAGTTTCTTTTTCAAACTGGGAGTTTTTTTGCTATTCATAAGGAAATGAATAAGGAAATATACCTTATACACATTATATTTTGAGGTTTTGATCTGAAAACGTCGACACGTATATGCTTTATCTAGGTAGGATCATCTTTCCAGAATTAACCTACCATTGGATAAATTCGACTTCCATTTTTGTAGGCTGTATGATTGTCATTTGAAAGAAACAGAAGCATTTCAAGTAGATGGAATACAATCCACATGTTTTAAGTGAATATTTGAAATAGACTAAAATAATAGTTTTCAAATGGTCAGTTTTTCGCTGAGGAACCCATTTGTAGGTTTGAAATTTCCTGATCTTTCATAAGTGCTAGCACAAGTGAAGTGAAGCAAACCAACCATTCCCTGTAAAATAAAAGCCAGATCAAAATTCTTCATGGATCAAATAGTATTAACATAAATGTAGTGAGAGATTCTTTAGTAAAATCTGTAGTCATAAATTATTCACTATCCCTCACCGTGTAACTTTTAGAGAGCTAAACTTTACAGAACTAAAGTGAGCATTCATTCTGGCCATTTTATTGAGTGCTGAGTTCCTTGGATAATAGTGCCTATCAAAATGATTCTTGATTTAAGATCTGATGATTTAAGATATGGTTATTATTTTTTTAATTGAGATAGAATTCATAAAGTTCACCCATTTAAGGAACACAGTTCAGTGGTTTTTAGGTTGTGCAACCATCACCACTATCTAATTCCAAAACCCTTTCATCACGCCAGAAAGAAACCCTGCACCCATGAAGTTATTCTTTCCCTCTCCAAGCATCCCTAGGCAACCACTAATTTACTTTCTGCCTCTAGTAGTTATACCTGCTCTGGACATTTCATCCAAACAGAATTAAGTGATACGTGACCTTTTGTATCCAGCTTCTTTCACTCAGTATAATGTTTGCAAGTTTCATCCATGTTGTAGCCTGAGTTAGGACTTCATTCCTTTTCATGGCTGAATAATAGCCCATTGTTAAGATGTGGTTTTAATGCTTGATAAAAGTCATATCATTATTAAAAACTTGATAAAATAAAATGTTTAAATAATGGTACTTTAGTTATATTATTATAATGATAAAAAGGATTTATTACATTTGGCCAGATTCAAGTCTCTTTGGACTTAGTAGAAATGTTAGCAGTGATAGTTTGTATTGCTTCTTAATCAAAAATCCTTTGGGTAGTTCTTAATCAGGCATTCCTAGGGCCAGAAGGAAGGATTTTTAACCGTAAGTGTTGTCTGGAAGCTTGCCACCTTCCCAAAAATGAAAGCTGAATTTGAAGAAAAATAAATAGGTAGGTATAAGAGGAAGAGCATGGGAAAATTATTTGATGCATCACATCCAGATGAGACTCCATACCCAACTATATAATGTTATATATATAATAATGTTCTGATGTCAAAATTTTATTTACTGTCTCTTGAGTAATAATTCATACTACTGCAATGTAGAAAATAAAATATTGTCTTTTGTTTTAAAAAAAGGCTATTTCATGAATAATGAGCTCTCTTTATCACTGAAAGTGTTTCATCATGGGATATATTACAACTCATCAGATTTTTCAAATTTGAGCTTATAAACTACAGCTTGCCTGTGTCTGCAGATACTTTTAGGTGCTGAGTGATGCTGTGGAAAGGACTGTGCTGGAGGGGGCTTAAATTAGGGCGTGAGCACATCGTTTCTTCCAATCCACAGCCTATGTCTTTCTATTTTTATTCAAAATAACATTTTCAATAATTCTATAAAGGTGAAAGTAAAAAATGTAATGTGAAATGTTAAGTCCATTTTCCGCATTTACAAACGAATGTACTGTGGAGTCTCTCCTATAAGGCATAGGCAGAGATGGACAGAAAGACATACAAACTTAAAGTGTACACACACACACACACACACACACCCCACATGCATACACACGTACCACATATGCAAACACACACCACACACACATGTACACACCACACACACCATGTACACACATACACACACACCACATATGCAAACACCACACACATACCACACACCCCACATATGCACACACCACACACACGCAGACACACACCACACACACACACACATACAAATCACACCACATATGCACACACACAGAAGCTCATTCTTGAGTTATCTGCTCCTTCCCAGGCAAGAATCCAAATTACTTAGACCCTTTGGATGGAAGGTGAAGTCTGTCTTTCTTGGTGGTGAAGGATAGAGACCAGTCAGATCTGGCCTCTTGACATGCCTCTTCCTTGCAACCCAGTCTTGGAGAGCTAGGCCCGCCTTTCCTAACCTCCCAGCCAAATATGTGGGCTTCCAGACACTGTGCTTCCCTAGATCATTTTATTCATGCACAGCTGACCTCCACTGCCCTCTTCACGGCGATGTGTCTTGAACACGTACAAGTCTATTGTACTGCCTTCCTTCCTTTTTTTTTTTTCGGTACGCGGGCCTCTCACTGTTGTGGCGTCTCCCGTTGCGGAGCACAGGCTCCAGACGCGTAGGTCAGCGGCCATGGCTCACGGGCCCAACCGCTCCGCGGCATGTGGGATCTTCCCGGACCGGGGCACGAACCCGTGTCCCCTGCATCGGCAGGCGGACTCTCAACCGCTGCGCCACCAGGGAAGCCCCCTTCCTTCCTTTTTGACGTCCCCATATAAAAGCTCTATTCTGTTCCACCCGAGCCAACATAATGAAAATCACAACAGTAGACTTTATTCCTAACAAGTTAAATTCCAATTTGAAATTTATTTCCACAAAAGTGAACGTTCCAATGTGAAGTTCCAATATCTTTGAAGTCACCGCAGAGAAGGGAGACACAAAAGAATGAGTTAGAAAAGGGATTTGAGTGCCATAGTCACCTTGAAGGTGAGTCTACATAGAGAAATCAGCAGTTTCTTCTAAAATACGGGTGATGCTGCAACAGCATTGGCTCACAAGGTCTACATACTTTTTTGGTTCAGCTTCACGTGCAGTGTTTCAAAGCAATACATTCTTGAAAAGGGATAAAAAAGCAGAGCAAACAAACTTGAGTTTTGCAAACTAGTTTAGTCCAAGATTGACACAAACCAGGTTTTCAGCCTGGAGCATTTTTTAACGATCAAGTTATATAAACTCTTGAAAAACCCTGTCTGCGTGGTAATGGAAACACTGACTTTTCATTTCTGGCTGACTTCGCCTCACTCGTGTTATTGTTTCTCCAGTATTTGGAGTTTCGATTACACCATCCGAGTTGTAAACACAAACTCCGCTATTTTGATATCCCACATTTGAAGTTTAGCCTTTTTTTTTTTTTTTTTGGCAGCTGTAGAGGTAAAGTAGCAAAACTTCAAATAAAAAGACACAAAGTGCCTGGCTGGCTGTGTTGTGCCTTCTGAATGCTTTCTCTGTCTGTGAGACTTTGTCAAATTAAAATGAAGGAATCCAGACAGGTCCAGGTTCCCCATCTTACTCAAGTGGTCTTCAGACTCCAAACCACCAAGCGCTCATTTATATGAGTTTAATTTGGTTTCCCTAACGACTCCTCTCCCCGTTTAAAACTCATATACCCTCACCCAAGTTCTGGCAAAAGCTCCCAGGATCCCTCAGGAATCTGAGACGTGTGTTTGGGGGACAGCAGTAGCATTTATAAACATTGAGCCATTGAAAGTTCTTTCCCCCCAGAGCCCTGTGAATAGTCACTGGCAATAGTGAACGCTGTTTCAAACCAGCCCAGTTAGTGCTTGACCAGCTGGCGCGTTTGTTAAAGATGCTATTGTGCAGAAGGGGGCCCTACCACCCCTCCCCCTTCACTTCCAAAACGGTGCTTTCACAGGTAAGTGAGGTAATCCATGGGGCAGGGGCACCTCTGTGAATTTTCCTCAAACACGTGTTGTGCCGCTTACTAAAATATTTTCATTCTGTCAAAACTATACTGTTTCAATCAATGTAAACCCGGCTTCAATTATGTCACTACAGAGCCCATAGAAGTAGTCTGTTAGCCTCAGTGGCAGACCTGTGGCACTCTTGGTGGAATTGCAGGGCCAATCTGGACGCTGGGGCTGTGCTGAAGCAGGCTGTTGATTTAAAGAAACTTTTGAGCTCAAAACTATGAAATGAAGATTTGTGGTGATAGTAGCTACTATGTATAGATCGCCTAGTATCTGTAGGGTCACTGTATCCCTTTTCCGATTAATGACTCCTTCTTTCTTGTTACAAATTGGCTCCAATATCCTTTGAGTAGGGCACTCCATACACACCAGCCCATTACACTTAGGGTGGGTCGGGCTCTGCAGGCAGGGCCTGAGATGAGTGGCCACCTTCTTCCAGGCTGGATCCGGCTAGAGACCGGGACTCATCTTATTCCTCCACGTAGGGCTGTGCCTTCTTATGGTCTCTCTTCTCCAGGGAGTTGCCTTTCTTTTGTATAAATGCAGTGCCCAGTCTGCACTTGGGGTTGAGGCGGGGATGAGGCTGAGGCTGGATGAGGTGGGGGGAGGGTGGCATTGAGGACAGGGATGAAAATGTGGGCTCA